AAGTCGAAGTTTCATCAGGCGACCAGTTCGACACCTGAGATCGATCGAGTAATTGAAGAAACTCGACGAACACCCTTCACTTCGAGAATCTCGAACCTTCGGATCAAAGATTCTCGAAAGGTCAAATTACCAACTTACAACGGTAAAGGTGATCCTAAAAATCACCTCGCTGCTTTTCAGATCGCTGCTGGCAGAATTAATCTAGAACCAGACGAAGAAGAGGCCGGATATTGCAAACTATTCTCTGAGAATCTATCCGGATCGGCTTTATTATGGTTCACTCAGTTGGAGCCTGAATCTATTGATAGTTTTAAGGAATTGTCCTCCGCATTCCTAAAACACTATTCCATGTTTATGGAAAAGGCAACCTCTGATGCAGATCTATGGAATTTAACCCAAGGTCAGAACGAACCACTTCGCAAATATATCGCTAAATTCAAAGAAGTGATAGCCAAAATTCCTGGGGTATCGTACGCTGCTGCCCTTTCTGCTTTAAGGAACGGACTTTGGCATGAATCTCGATTTCGGGAAGAAATCATCGTCAATCGTCCGAGCACTATCCAAGATGCTTTATTCAGAGCTACTAATTGGATGGAGGCAGAAGAAGAAAAGCTTAGCCTCGCTAAAAAGCATCGGCCAGCAAAATTGGTCGTTGGAAATCCAACTAAAATATTCGAACCAAAAGATCAAAAACGGTTCGGAATTAATCATGCTACTAATGCCGTAGGAAAACCCTCCCCAAACAAAGGAAGATACAATTCTTCTAAGACCTGGGCTAGAGATGAGAATGCCTATTGTGATATTCATAGAGTAAATGGGCATTCCACCAAAGATTGCAGCGTACTCAAAAAGCACCTCACCGAACTGTGGGCGGCTGGAGAACTCGCTAATTTCAATATCGAGGAGTTTGTGGAATCTTATCATAAAGAAGAAGAAGATTCCGAAGCGTCCAATCTTCCTGAAAAGAAACATAATCCCAATGGGCCCGGAACTCCGAACACTCTTAAGAAAAGGATCGATGTTATAATGGGAGGATCCAAATTATGCAGAGATTCGATCAGATCAATCAAAAGGCACAAGAAATCAGCAGCAATTCAAACCGCTGTGGGTTTCCAGTCAAATGAACAGACACCTTCTATCTCTTTTGATAATTCGGACACTCAAGGATTAACAGAACCTCATGACGATGCTCTTGTGATAACTTTAGATGTTGCGAACTTCGAAGTAACTAGGTGTCTAATTGATACTGGAAGCTCGGTAGATCTCATATTTCTAAGCACTTTCCAAAGAATGGGAATCAGTAAGGCTGACATTATCGGTCCACTGACACTATTAGTAGCTTTCACGAGTGACACATCTATGTCTTTGGGAAACATAAAACTACCAGTGCTCGCCGCAGGGGTTCCAAAGAATTGTAGAATTCATTGTTTTCGACCGACCGGCCGCTTAAAACATAATTCTCGGAACTCCGTGGATTTACTAAATGGAGGCTATACCTTCAACTTATCATCAATGTGTGCAATTTCCGAATCCTCTAGGAATCGGAACCATTCGAGGAGATCAGGAAACGTCGCGATCTTGCTACCTCATGGGACATCGTTTAAAGCTCAAATAGCAATAAATGATAAACACGAAGCAAGAGGGCGCCTCGCGTTACCTAAGTGGTCTTAATTCGAGTGAAGTTACCATAGAAGTTGAAATTGATTCTGAATTTCCAGATCGAAAAGTAAAAATCGGTACCACTTTAGATTCAGAAATCAAAGATCAGTTGGTAACATTTCTAAAAGAAAATAAGCATACTTTTGCCTGGCCGGCGAAAGATATGCCTGGAATCGATAAAAGTATCATTACCCATGATTTAAACGTCGATCCCAGTTTTAAACCAATAAAACAAAAAAGAAGAAAACTTGGTCTAGACCGAGCTCAAGCGGTCAATGACGAAGTTGATAAGCTTTTGAAAATTGGTTCCATCAGAGAAGTAAAATACCCGGACTGGTTAGCAAACCCCGTCGTAGTCAAAAAGAAAAACGGAAAGTGGAGAGTATGTGTCGATCGGCTCGTTGAGTCGACAGCCGGAAACGAACTCTTAACATTTATGGATGCATTCTCTGGATACAATCAGATCATGATGAATCCCGAAGATGAAGAGAAAACATCCTTCATAATAGATAGAGGAATTTATTGTTACAAAGTTATGCCATTTGGTCTAAAATATGCCGGTGCAACATACCAACGTTTAGTTAACAAAATGTTTTCAGAACATTTGGGCAAAACGATGGAAGTGTATATTGATGATATGCTCGTGAAATCTCTTAAGAAATCTGAGCACATCACTCATCTTGAGCAGTGTTTCAAAATTCGGAATGATTTCAGAATGAATTTAAATCCTGCCAAATGTTCTTTTGGTGTGCCTTCCGGAGAATTCCTAGGCTATATAGTCACGGAAAGAGGAATATAAGCAAATCCTAATCAGATTAACGCTTTCCTTACTATGCCTTCGCCAAGAAACATAAAGGAGGTCCAACGATTGACAGGCAGAATTGCTGCATTAAATAGTTTCATATCGAAGTCTACCGATAAATGTCTCCCCTTTTATCAAATTTTGAAATGGAACAAAAAATTTTGGTGGGATGATCAATGCGAAGCAGCATTTGGTCAACTCAAAACTTATCTGACAACACCGCCGATTCTCTCAAAACCTGAATTAGATGAGAAACTTTATCTCTACATTTCCGTTTCTAACCATTCCGTAAGTGGGGTTTTAGTTCGAGAGGACCGAGGTGAGCAAAAGCCAATTTTCTACATAAGTAAATCTCTTACTAGTCCAGAAACGAGATATACCATGATGGAGAAATTAGCTTTAACAGTGGTCATATCTGCTAGAAAACTCAGAACTTATTTCCAATCTCATCCTATAGAAGTACTAACTTCCCATCCGCTTCGCTCAATTCTTCACGGGCCAAGTCAGTCCAGTAGGTTAGCGAAGTGGGCAATCGAACTCAGTGAGTACGATATAGAATACAAAAGTCAAACTAGCGCAAAAGCACAAGTTTTGGCTGATTTTCTAACCGAACTACCATTAGATGATGGAATCTTTGTTGAAACGGACTCTACATGGAAATTACATGTAGATGGATCTTCTTCTAAACAAGGATCCGAAATCGGCATTAGGCTCGAAACTCCGACGAAGGAAATAATCGAGCAATCATTTCGATTAATGTTTCCAGCTTCGAACAATGAAGCAGAATACGAAGCTCTTTTAGTAGGACTTCGGCTTGCTCTTGCGATTGGAGCAGAAAAAATAATAGCTTATTGTGATTCTCAGCTAGTTGTAAACCAGTTTGCTGGAGATTACGAAGCTAAGGCTCCTCGAATGGAAGCTTATCTTTCGGCTGTCAAAAAATTAGCCAAAAAATTAAAAGAATTCGAGTTAGTTCGAATACCTAGAGGAAAAAACACTTCGGCAGACGCTTTAGCGGCCCTAGCTTCTACCTCAGATCCTGAACTCAAACGAGTTATCCCAGTTGAATGTATTTCTTCGCGAAGTTCAGTTGAAGAAACAGAAAACGATAAAATTTTGGAGGCCGAATACATCGAAACTCCAAAACAAAGTTCCGGAAATAGTTCACTTGTCATCACCAGATCACGGATAAAGTCTCAAGATGACGAACTTACTCCACCATTGGAACTTCCTAAAAGAAAGTCAAAAAGAAAGTTAAAGGATCAAGAGGTTCCCATTAAAGAACCGTCTAGAACCGAACAGTCACTTCCAGGTGATGTAGAGGTTCAGGAGACAATCGAAGATCCTGATATTCCTTCCGAACCCAAACCAAGGAAGTTTATACTCAAGGATAATACTTCCGCTAATGATTGGGGGGCTGACTGGAGGGTACCCATCAAAAATTTCATTCTTAATGGAGAACTACCATCTAACAAATGGCAAGCTCGCAAATTAAAAATCATCAGCGCTAAGTATTGTATAATTAAAGAGTCATTGTACAAGCGAGGCGTTAGTGATCCTTATCTTTTATGTATTTTTGGACCCGAAGTTGAAATAGTGACAAGCGAGGTCCACGAAGGACTTTGTGGTAATCATTCTTCGGGACGAGCAATGGCTTTCAAAATCAAACGGTTAGGATATTTCTGGCCAACTATGATTTCAGACTGCATTGATTACGCCAAACGGTGTAAAAAGTGTCAGATGCACGCTCCTCTTATTCACCAGCCATCTGAAATTCTGTCACATATATCCGCTCCATACCCTTTCATGAGGTGGTCAATGGATATAATCGGTCCGATGCATCGTTCAACACGAGGCGTCCAATACTTATTAGTTCTAACGGACTATTTTTCCAAATGGATTAAAGCTGAAGCTTATATAAGCATACAAGATTCCGTAGTAAAGACATTCTTGTGGAAACACTACAAGAAAACAACCTATTTCCCAGGGACCAATCCGTCAGTAAACCCTCGGAAAGAGGGGTTTCAGACGGTTTCCCGACGGATTTTTGTCGTCGGTAAGCCTTGGTCGGAAATCAAGATCCGTCGAAAAGTCCTCAGAAATTTCCGACGGATTTCCGAGGAAGCTAATTTCCGACGGAATTCCGAGCGTTAATTGTTTCCTACGGTATTCCGAGAGAGACAAGTTCCCGTGGAGTTTTCGATAGAGAAATTCCTCAGAAAGTTTCCGACGGAATTCCGAGGATTATCGTTTCTGAGGACTTTCGATGGAAAAATTCCTCGGAAATTTGCCGACGGATTTCTGAGGATTGTAGTGTCCGACGGATTTGCGAGGATTGATTTTTTCCGACGGCCTTCCGAGGATTGTATGTTTCCGAAGGAATTCCGACAATATTTTATTTCTCAGGAACTTGGGTCTGTGTTATTTAATACAAATATTTTTTAGATACTTCAATTATTAATTCTGTAATTAAATTTAGATAATAATCTAAAAAAAAAACAATTCCAAAATTACTAAATTATCCAAAATAAACCACAAATATTTTACATAAACAGAAAATGTTAGTTGACAAAAAAAAAAGAAGAAAATGTTCAAAAAAAGAAAAGAACAAATCATGGTGGAGGGAACTGTCCCGGAAATTGAGACGCCAAGAATGTTTGAAGATTGGTGAGTGTCACTTGGGTCTCGGCGAACTTTTCCTTAATCTCGACATTTTGTTGCTTCAATTCTTCGACCACCGTGTCTTTTTCTTTAATGACACGGTTAAGATCTTCAACTTGTTGAACAAGTTCGGTGTCACGAGGAATTACCGAAGAGACACTCCCGTCCTTGGACACAAGGCTTCCTAAATCGGGTCGGCGGCCCTTGGTTAAGGGAATCTCCTAAGTAATAATAAAAGTAATAAATATATAAGAATTTGAAATAAATTAATCAAAAAACTAAAAAGTTATTCAAATATACTTCGATACACAATAGGTTGATTTCCTCACGGGGTATACCGGTTGAAGACGTTGAGCCATCTTGGGATAGTTGCGTCTCCCGATCCACCTTTCGCAACTTAATCCTCTCGATCCGCTCTTCGATAACAAGGTCTTGAATCTGTCCGGTTTTCTTGCTAGTGTGGGTTTCTTCCATCACTTGTAGCCAATCCGGTTGAACTCCATTCTTGATAGCCTACATGAAAAGAAAAGATATTAATCTAAAAACATTAAAAAGTTAGAAATCTGAAGTAATATTTAGAAATTTACCATCTTTCTTTCATGCCTTTTAAAGGACATTGAACCCGAATTGTGGGTCGCCATTCCCTTCCCACCACGTTGGCTCTTACGATTCTTCGAGTTTTGCGTGGAAGTAGCTTTTGTTTTCTCCATACTCCAATAGCGAATAAAACCTCTCCAAACTCCTTCCTCTAAATCCTTTGGCTTCTCCTTTCCATTCTTCCACTTTTGCTTCCACGAGTACATGTGATTTCCATAGGTTGTGTTGACTTGAATGTCAAACTCGAGACGCACTCTCTTACTAAGACCGGGTTCCCAATTGAAATCTTGCTACAAGTGAAAAGAAATTCAATTATAGTTAATCTATCAATTAATTATTAAATGTAATACTAACTAATACAAAAATAATAATTTACCGCAAAAGACTTGAACCAAGTCAATTTGGTGTCTGGATCCACGTCCCCGTACGTTGGAAAAGGTTTACCGAGTTGCGTCTTGAAAATCCTAAGAATGGATTTTGTGATGCCATTTTCTAGGTTAAACCTAAAAACATGTAAAATAAGAATTAGTTAAATACCAAATTTCACAATTATATGTAAATAGATGAAATAAATATTCTTACCAAGTTGCTCCATTTTCTTCTTTCGGGTGGAGCCTCGGGATATGTTGCCGTCCCGGTTGACTAACGAAATCCTCTATCGTCATCACTGCTTGAGGAGCAGAATTCGCCGTCTCGGGGACATTAGTACACGATAGAGATGGTGTATCCGAGCTAATTGGTGACCTCCGTGATCGGTTAGATGACGTCCCATGGAACTCCGCATAAGACCTACATTTACAAAATTATAAATTTGTTACAAACCATATAAATAAAGAAAACTTAAAAGTCTAACCTTAAAATAGAAAATTAATACGTAATCCATCACTAATGAATTTTTTCTTATTACACATTTGAAGAAAACGTTTTCAGAATTATTACAAAATTAAAATTGAAAATCTATCTATCAAATTTGTTAAGAAACCTATTTTAAAATTAACAAGCTTATAACTAATTCTTATCAAAATCATCAAACTAATTAGAGTCAAAAGCTTCAAATCAAAACCCATATCTACCCTATAGCTATACTTAGGGTTCAAGTGTTCAGTATCTCTTTAGGCCATCAACATGTTGCAATAGAAATACAAATCCTAACACCAAAAAGCCCCACAGAAATCAGAAAATATCAAAAAAGTATGAGCTGTTGTTCTTCAACTTTAATTCTGACAAAACCCCATCTTTGCAAAGAGAAGAAGAAAATTTTTAAACAAAAAAAAAAGAAAAAAAGAAGAAGAAAAAGAAGAAAATTGGCACCCGAAATCTGACAAAACACCATCTTCACAGTGAGGAAAACCATCTACCACCTCAGATCTCATATAGAACTACAAAGATCTAATTCTATGGATTCCAAAACCTAATTCTAACAAGCTTCTAACTAATATACAGATTCTACCAACCAAAAAACTAAAAGAACAACTGGAGTGAAGAATCAAAGAAGAGAGATCTGTTTCAGAAGAGAGAAAGTTTATTAGCGGAGTTGGTGAGGCTACCACGAGTTTGAAACTTACATAATTTTGTAACAGAGGAGGAGAGAAAGCAAGGAGGAGGAGTGAAAGCAAGGAGGAGCGACGGCGAAGGGGATGAACGGCGGGAAAAGAGATGAACGGCGGCGAGAGGGGAAGATCGGTGGGGAAAGGGAAGTGAATCTCAAGCGGCTGGGATAAAAAAATTTGGCCCTTGGTATATATAAAACAATTTCAGACGGAAATTCCGAGGCCAAAATAAAGGTTTTACCGATCTTAAAGCTATCACGAGCGGAGGGTCGTGTTGACTAAGTCTAGACGACAGTCGTGTTTACAAGCAAGGGTTCATATTCCAGGTAAAGGGAGCGATTCGGGCCTCTTTGCCTCTGTGTTGCTCAACCCACTGTTAGGAACTGTGAAACCCCGGCGAGTACTATTGACTGCCGTGTTCGACCGTCGTATTGACGGACCACTTATGCTAACCTTAAGAGAACAATACAGAATCGAAAACACGGGTTTTTTTTTGGCACGGAAATCCGTCAGAAACATAAAATCCCTCGCAAATCCGTTAGCACTTTTAGACGGATTTCCGAGGACACAAAATTATTTCTGAGGAATTTCCCAGGATTCGTTGTTTTGTTTTGAATTTTATAGATTTGATACATCCTAAGTGTTGTCTAATGCTATATTAATCTATATTTGTCAATAGAATTTCATATTAAAGCAAAAAACGCAAACTACTAAAAAAATCACATGACTTCTCTAAGTATAACCTATATCTTTCATATCATCTCATAAACACTTAAGTGTAAATGATGTGATTTCTTAGAGTTTGATATTTTATTGATCTGAAATGCTTTATAATCTAATTTTATTCACAAATATGGCTAATTATACTATTAGATTACACTTGAGAAGAATCAAATCCACAATATTCAAATCCAAACTATAAACCCTCGGAAAGTCCTCGGAAATTTCCGACGGATATCCGAGGATATTTCGGTTTCCTCGGAAATCCGTCGGAAATTTCCGAGGACTTTACGAAGGTTTATAGTTTTTCTGTAAAAAATGACCGTATTTATAAACTCTCGGAATGCCCTCAGAAATTATCGACGGAGTTCCAAGGGAATTAATTTACCGACGGACTTCCGAGGAAATTTGATTTTTCCTATAACATGTCCGTTGAATAAACGTTTTTCAATTTATACAATGTTGAATTTAAACATTTAAATTGTTTATAAATAAATTTAAACAACTATAAAAATTCTTGAGAGATAAATTATTCAAATTGTTTTTAAATAAATTTAATAATTAAATCTAATAATATACGAAACTTAAATAATTTATTCCTCGTCTTCTTCTTCCGATGAGTATTCTGAATCTTCCGAATCGGTAGCATCCTCAAATTCGCCAATCTCTTCCTCAGAATCATCGAAAACCTCATCATCTACATCAATGGTGAAATCAACGACAAGATCAACTTCTAGCGAGTGGTCAACCGCTCCGATGGTACCTAGTATGTTTTGCTACAAAGGGTTATGTTCACTATCATCGGAAATCCCAACAATCCTTCCTCTAGGATTAATTGATGTCACTGTGATCCAAGGATCGTCAACATCAGTAGCCCGTGGATATTTAATGTAGCATACTTGATCGGCTTGTGATGCGACAATGAATGGGTCATATTCCCAAAGCCTCTTTCTCATGTGTATTGTTGTAGCACCAAATTCATCATGTTTCACACCACGTCCCAGAATTGGATCGTACCAATCACATGAGAATACGATGCACCTCAAATTGATCATCCCCGGATAACGAACTTCTAAGATTTCGCGGAGGACACCATAGTATACAAGATCACTAGACTGTGCCGATACACCATAATCACAAGTCGGCCTAATCTTCTTGGGTCGAAGAATTTTAAAAGCGTAACCACGAGTACAATACATGGGATATGCTTCCGCAACATATAACGGCCCATTAACGAACTCCACTAACCATGTAGGAATTGATTGACCTCTAGAAGACATAGTTGTAACCTGCACAAAATAGTTTAATTATAATGCTTAAATATTAACTAAGTTCTAATTGAAAATTTATTATTAAGGAAAAATAATTAAGTAAAAGCTTACGTAGAATTTCAACCAATGACAAAACTCAGTCTGCTTGAGTTTTTGAATGTCATCCTCACTCATGTTAGGATATTCAAAGCGTACTTGGAAGCTGCATCTAATCGGAATCGAGGGGTTGGTGCTTTCCCATTTGCAGTGACATGAAGCTTTCTTCGAGAACAAATATCAGGCAAGTCCAGTCTAGACTTCAAATTATCTTTCGTCTTTCCTTGAACATTAAGTACAGTGTGCATGAGATTATCAAAAAAGTTCTTCTCCGTATGCATGACATCTAGATTGTGCCGCAACAAAAGATCCTTCCAATATGGCAATGCCCAGAAAATACTCATCTTGTGCCAGTTATGATGATCGCCATATCCATCAACGATATCGTGCCCAGCACCACCACAAACCGTTGTCTTCTCAGCACCAAAATCTCTTAACTGATTCAATATGTCCTCGCCAGAATACTCAGGAGGTGGCCCGTCAAAGACTTGTCTGTTCTTTTTAAATAATGTGGTGCTCCAACGATAAGGATGGTCTTCTGGGAGCCATCTTCTGTGACAATCAAACCAACACGTCTTCCGTCCGTGTTTTAGCTGAAACGCGTTGGTGTTATCTTGACAATGCGGACAAGATAACCGTCCGTGCGTTGTCCACCCATATAACATACCATAGGCAGGAAAATTGCTTTTAGTCCACATTAGCACCGCTCGCATGTTGAAATTTTGGTGGGTTGAAACATCGAACGCTTCTACACCATGTTCCCATAACATTTGTAACTCATATATCAGTGGCTGCAGAAACACATCAAGTGCTTTCTTAGGATGATCTGGACCGGGAACAAGAATGGTGAGAAAAAGAAACTCTCGTTTCATACACAAAGATGGCGGCAAATTATAAGGTGTCATGATAACTGGCCACAATGAATATTGCCTCCCATGTTTCCCAAAAGGATTAAAACCATCTGTCGACAAACCCAAATAAACGTTTCTTGACTCACTTGCAAAGTCGGGATAAACTGATTGAAAATGTTTCCATGCTTCTGCATGCGACGGGTGCGCAATTACACCGTCTGACCTATGTTCTGCATGCCATTTCATTGATCCCGCTGTACGCTCTGACTGATACAACCTCTTCAACCTCTCTGCTAACGGTAAATACCACATCCGCTTATATGGTATGGGAACTCTTCCACTAGTGTCCTGATACCGAGGTTTACGACAGAAACGACATGAAGTGCGACCTTCGTCTTCTCTCCAATAAATCATACAATTATCACTGCACACGTCTATCACTTGATATGGCAAGCCAAGTCCAGCTACAAGTTTCTGCACCTCATAGTACGAAGCTGGTGAAAGATTATCTTCGGGCAAAATTTCTTTCACAAAATCAGTAATCGCATCCACACAACCCTCGGCCAAATTCCAATCCGTCTTTATGCCCATCAACCTAGTTGCAGCTGATAATGGTGAATGACCCTTCTTACAACCATCGTACAAAGACATATTAGCTGCATCTAACATATCAAAGAATCTCCTAGCTCCTATATTCGGTTGCTCTACTCTATCTTCATCTTGAGCGAAAGACGGTGCATTTTCCCTAAACGCATCATTCACCATCTGAAATGTACCTACGTCTACTTCCGTTGATGGTTCCTCTACACTATCCGGAAGATAATGTTGACTAGTACTACCATAATCTAGCATTGACTCACTCTCTCCATGTGAATACCATATCTTATAACCCGGCATAAATCCATTCTTAAACAAGTGCTTCTTTACTAAAGCTACCTCGAGTTTTCTATAATTCCGACAATTTGGACAAGGACATAACATAATACCTGTTTCTAGCGTTATGTCCTGGTTTGATGCGAATAACATGAATTGCCTAAGCCCTTCTTTGAACTCTTCTGTAAGTTTTCCTGTCTCAGGATTGTATCTCGGTTTATCCATCCATGAACGAAAATAATCATAAGGATATGGAGAAGACATTTTTGTTGGTATTGTTTATAGTTTTGTTTTGTTTTCTACACATGTAAACTCGTTGGAATATATAAGCAAAATTTCTGAGGGATTTCCCAGGGATTTCCGAGGACTTTTAAATTACAACGGCTGCTCCAACGGATACATCAACAGCGACGTTTTAACGGCTATATTCTCCGAGTGTCCTTGGAAATCTCTCAGAAAACAACGGTCATAATGTCCTCGGAAAGTCCTCGGAAATTGAAAAACTTCTAGACGGATTTCCGACGGACGTAGATTCTTTGGAATTTTTTGACCGCTTTCCGAGGAACTAGTTTGTTTTCGAAAATCACTCGAAATTCCGTCGAAAAACCACATAATTTCCGACGAATTTCCGACGGCCGTATTTTCCTCGGAAATTTCCTTTTGATTTCCGAGAAATTGTTTTGTTCTCGCAAATTGCTCTGAAATCCGTCGGAAATTTCCGACGGATTTTTTTCCGTCTAAAACTCCGTCGGAAATTGCGTTGCTTTCTTGTAGTGAAACACATTATTTGTCGCTATGGAATTCCTTACGAAATAGTAACGGACAATGGTCCTCAATTCATTTCAAATGATTTTGAAGATTTTTGTTCCGCTTGGGGAATAAAACATAGCTACTCAACGCCGAGGTATCCTCAAGGAAATGGACAAGCGGAAGCCTCCAATAAAACCATTCTCAGCAATCTTAAAAAATGCTTGAGTGCTCGAAAAGGTGGATAGTATGACGAGCTGCAACCTGTGTTGTGGGCTTATCGAACAACCCCAAGGCGAGGAACGGGTGAAACTCCATTCTCATTAGTTTATGGGATGGAAGCCGTAGTCCCAGCCGAGCTGAATGTTCTAGGTTTGCGCCGAAGCGAAGCTCCACTTAACAAGGAATCGAATTCTAAATTATTAGAAGACGTTCTCGATACAATCGATGAAAGGCAAGACCAATCCCTTATTCGACTTCAGAATTATCAACAGTTGACCGCTCGATACTATAACTCAAAGTTGAAAAACAGACCTTTAAATGTAGGAGACTTTGTTTTAAGACGAGTGTTCGATAACACAAAAGAAGAAGGAGCTGGAAAACTCGGTATTAACTGGAAAGGCCCTTATCAAATCACTGAAAAAATCCGAAACGGTGTATACCGTTCACAAGACCTTGGTGGAAATCCCGTTCAAAGGCCTTGGAACATAATCAACTTGAAAAAGTTCTATTGCTAAAGCAAACAAATTCGAACTACGATTTGGCTTGATCCTAATCTGGGTACGTAGGCAGCTCACTAGTCATGAGTCCAGCTATAACATAAAAATAAAAACATTATTCCAGTCATGGAATCCTGTTTTTATAAATTCGATATTCGAGCATGAATATAAAGATACGTTGCGAACAATGTATAAATAAATATTTCTTGCTAAGCTAAGACCGGATCTAGAAGGGTCTTGAATTACGGAACAGCTCTGCTCCTTGACCTGCGAGGTCAATGATGCTAATAATTCAACCTGGCATGTTTCCGTACTCCTGAAGTCCTAGTTCGATCCAATCGGAAGGATGGACTTCGAGGCGATGAAGCTCGCGAGATATATCGAGGCGATGCTTCTCTAGCTCCATTATCCGTTTCCTAATCTTTTTCTTCTCATCTTCGAGCTCGTCATGCCGAGTGATAAGCTGAAGAAAATAAAACGCTACGTTTAGCAATAACAAAAAGAAGTTAATCACTAAGATGGAAAATACCTTATTGATAAACTCCTCAGCCTTAACATGATCTTGAGGCGACAATCTCTCGATTAAAACGATCGGAACCTGAATGCTAGTTCCCTTATTCAATATTTGTGAATCTTTTGGTTCGCCAGACTCTCCTGCTTTTATAAGCTCGATGTCCGACGTCCTCGAAGGATCAACACTCATCACTTTGAACAAGTCTGAAGGATTCTCTGATGAATTACCTCCCTTGAACATTTTTGTAGAATTGTTGTTGAAATTTAATGATAAACTACACCCAATTTATACTCGAAGATTTATCCGATTGAATTTAAGAGGATTAATTGACGATTTCTCAAATCTGAAATTACAACTTTCATGGAAAATGTAATCGAGTTAATTGCTAATTATATTCCCTAGATTAAACGCATTAAATATGATGAGTTAATCGGCAAATTTAAAGCAAAAGGGGAATATAATTAATATTGTTGGGCCTCTAGCCCAATAGTTTTTTACATAATAAAAAAAAAAACTAAGGAGGGGGGTTCGCAGGAGGAACTTCGTCTGATGGCGAACCGTCTTCGCGTTCGTCGGGTTCGAGGCTCCTTTGATAGATATCCCAATGCTTCTTCAGGAACCTGATATGTTCTCGAAGACAGCCGGGAATGCGCGCGATAGAATCAAATCCCCTCCTCTCCCTGTTATGAACGTCCGACTCCAAACGTCGGATCTTCCTTTCTGTTCTAGCAATCCGGTCCTTGAGGTTACGGCGTTTCATTCCGAGGCGTTGTCTTCCGGAGCAGAGGAAAACGTATCTTTCCGTGATCTGCAAAGAACATATACATTACGAATCTATCAAGTAAAACCTTGAAACCATTGGTACTTGGTTCAAACCTGCTCCATGAATTCATGGCACTCGATCTGTTCTTCCCTAGACAGGGAAGAAAGAAAACAAGGAGTAGCCACCCCTTGTGGAGTGAATCCATCCCCTGTCGGGAAAAGAGATTCGCTTGAAGGGAGTCGTGGTAAATTAGGACCAGAAGGTTCGCCTTGGGGAGATGTCATCGTAGATCCAAAAAGAAGATTTACAAAATCCAACTCTCCTTATATAGAAAAAATATGTAAGGGCACTCACTCGAGTATTTATTGAAAAAGAAAGTTAAACGTCAATCTATTGATCTGACTGTTATGACCTCTCGATTTTCGTGTACATGCACAAACAAGACCTACGAAATATAGGTTATTCAAGTATCACTTAACACCTAGTAGGCGAACTTAATTTCGAACTCGGAAGTCGAAGACAATCAATAAATGGTATCACACCTTTTTTATCTCTTAGGGAAAGCAAACAGTTCTCACTAGAGATTTCCCTCGAACACATTTGAAGTATCGCAAAGTGTTCTTGTAAGCCGAGCTATAACCTCGCAACCGAGAGACCGAGGAAAAATTCCAATGTTTTTTCTTTAAAAAAGGCAAGTAGGTCTGTTCAGCCTATCTCTCCTATAATCCTGAACCACTTCGATTAGGAGGATTTTGCAAACCCTCCAGGTAAAATCGATGGTTTCCACCAAGATTAAATATTTCTTCCTAAAGAAATTTTAATCGAAAACCCCCTTAAGCAAATTATTCAAAACAGTAATAGAAGCCCCCTTGGGCAGAAAATTTGGAAAAGAAATAAGCGGCCCCATGGCCAACAAAGCGAATTTCATGTCTTAAAAATTAAAGGGACAATCCCCACATAAGGTGAATGCAATCACCATCATTCATTCATAGGCGAACCGCCTTCTTCTCTTACTTGACTTGAGACAAGAGCACCCCCAACGTCAACGTCTTGAGTCGCGAGAACCACTTCAGGGTTAAGCGAGCTAGCATCGTGAGGAGTTTTGTTTCTCGATTTAACATCATCTCCCATAATTGAGGAGATGACAAGCCCCTGATCAGAGAGCCCCTAAGCTCGTCCCGGGGAGATTCTGTCAACATTGGTTCCGAACTCATTAAAATGAGCACGATAAGAACCAGTTAACAGCATCTCATCCTGAGATAGACCAATACTTGGTTCAGTCGGTGGAGGGGAATCGGCGAACTCAGAAGCAAACTGCTGCAAATTTAAATATGGCTGGGGAGCGTTAGCTAGCTTGGCTTCAGTCTCGGCGAGCTCAGCGCCCACTGTCTCCTTCTCTTCAGCCAAATTGATTGATCCTTCCTCTATCTCCATGATCAGATCGAGGTTGCTTTTCATCTCATCACGTTCAGAGCTGAGTTTGTTCTAAGCTTTGTCTGCAGCGATAAATTCCTGCACAGCAAGAAGAAACTTTTGCCCAGCTCCCTTAACCTCTTTCCGAGCATCATGAGATATTTTGCGAACATCACGATCTTTCAGTTCGGAAAGAGACTCATTTTTCCGTTCGAGCTCCTCAACAGCTGCTTTAACCTTGTTAAGCTCTGATCTCAGAAGCTCAATCTCGCCTTTTGCGAAGTTATGATCAGCAAGGGCAGTCTCTAGCTTTTGCTCTGTCTCAATCAAAGTTTTCCTTGTTTCCTCGCCGGATCTTTTGAGTCTCTCGATCTCTTCCTGGTGAGCCGAGTCGAGGCCCGCAGACTCCTGCACAAGCCGACTGGAAGATTGCAGGTTCTTAATCTCTCCTTCAGCGGCAGCAACTTTCTTGGAAACTTTGGCGAGCTCCTCTTCGTAAAAGTTGATAATGCCATTCACATCCAAAGTTGCCTAATAAAAGAAGTTCTTTGTTTTACAAAAAAAAATATATATATTTTCTTTCAAAATCGGCTGTTTAAGGATGCAAATAGTCGCACCTGAGAGGAGTGAAATGAATGGCTGATATACATCTTCTTGATGTCAGGCTTCCACCAATCAAAGGACAGAAGTTTCTTCCCAAAGCGGGTGTGAAAGCATCTAAACATATTCTCAATCTTCTCTTTGTCTAGAATAAAGGTGGTTATGTGAGGATTCATCTTCTTAAAAAGTCAACTAATCTCAAATAACGAAACGGTAATCAAAGGTTACCTAACTGGGATGAAGCTCTGGCAACAAGTCCCGAGCTCGGGGACGATCGAACCCTAGAAGTATTGCCTCGGGGGCGTCTGGGGGATAGCATCCCTGAACCCAGCGGTTCCTTCAAAACAGTTCCTGAATCAGGATTTGCATCCTGAGCTTCAGCAGGTTCAAGAATTGGCAGATTCGAAGGAGCGGCTCTGCCCTTCCTTGTGTTCTTGGGACGTCCCTGGGGCTGGGGTCCAAGTTCCTCGGCCTTCTTCTTCTTCATAAGAGAAGTTTTACTTGCAAGGCCTTCCTCCTCAACGGTGGCAGCAACCACGTTGTCTGCTGCTGGGATGGAGGGAGAAGCATTATTTACAGCAACCGCCATTGACTTTGAACCTTCAAGAGATCCATCGTCAACCAGAAGAGTTTTCCGATAGACCTTGTCATCTCCCGTGGAAGTTGCATTTTTCTTGTCTCTCCCAACTAGAGAAATCTGATCTTTGATCCTCTTGTTTGCTTCTTTGATCTTTCTCCTATCTCGGGCATTCAGACTCGAGAGATCAATCCCAACAGGAGGAGGGTCGACAGGGCGAGTAAGTGTCATTCTGACAGAAAACCCGGCGCCGTGAATTCTTTCCAAAGTAAAAGAATTCCAATTAACTGGCCTCTCCAAGACGGCCTTGTAAAAATTGAGAAAATCGACGGATGGAACTGGTCGAATCTGAGGACCTGCGAGAAAACAAAGAAATGTTGAAACGCAGTTTTGAAATAACAAAGGGAATTATTCAGTTAAGTCCTAATTTCTACCCAAATTCGATGACCAGTGAATTCGAGGGAGTTCGGAAGAACTCTGAATAGAAAAATTATTTATGCGGAAGAAGACCCAAAACTTCCTCCAGGCGGTGTCCTTTAAAGGCAGGCAGTCAATAAGATTCTGATCCGCGTTCGGATAAAGGGCATAATACCCAGAAGTTTGGGATTCGCGAGCTTGGAAAAGTTCCAGGAGTTCGCAAAGTCCCAATGAGTAGCCCACCTTCGCCGCAATAGTGAGGGTACACAAAATACACCGGAGCATGTTGGGCGACATCTGAGAGAAAGCAATTCCCAGATGATTGAGGTAGACGAGAAGCACCTCAGGAAGGGGAAAGAATAAGCCGCACCCTTTGAAATAAATTTCATAGGCACAACAGTAACCTTCTCGCCCCGATTCTGGAGACTCAAAGGGCTCCGGGACTGCCATCTCAACCTCAGGGGGGATGAGACATAATCTACGAAGATCATTGAGAGAATCGATAGTTGATTCACTCTGGGGATGAAGATCAAACCCATCTCCGGATTGAATCTGGGGTCCGGATCCTTCACCCATGAGAGCTTCGAGATCATCCGCCTCGTATTCACGAAATTCGGAAGAAAGGTTCGACATTTTACAAAAAAAGATTTTTTACCAAAAGGAAACAATGACTTCTGTAGAGAGAATGAAAGTTCTCTAAGTAAAGAAGATAAGATGGAAAAGTGATTTTACCTCTTAGAACCCTAAAGTATGATGGAAAACCGCCTCGAGAATATTGGGAAGTGGGACAGTTTTCCCCGTGGTATTAATATAAAATTAAGAAATTAATGATGACGGTTGTCAGGGATATCAAATCATTTGATTATCCGAGATCGGCGTAATAGCGTAAAACATGGAATAATTCCGGAATATTAAAGATCTCGAGTCATTAATTACTGTTTACTTAAGTCTTCCAAGCCAAGCACTCAGCTCGCAAGACTTGGGGGCTAAATGTTGGGGTCGGATCCCACACATCTTCGGTAGGATCCACATGGACCTGTCCACGTCATTATTACATAATAATCCTCTTGGATTCCTAGATGTTTCATTGCGAGAATCGAGCTCGACCTGTCGGAAGTTCGATTCAATTTATTAAAGAGCTCGATCTTTACCAGTACGGAGTTCGCTCTTATTCAACATATAGTTCGCATAAAAGAAGGCCGAAGCGAGGAGAATATTGTTCGAGGTTCGCGGCAGCGTCAAGACGCAGGAGTTCGGAGTCAACAAGAAAGAGTTCGGAAGATCCACGCGCAGCCCAAGATAGTTCAAATTCAAGCCGTTTCGGTCAAATTGTAACCTACATGATTAATGCGGATCAATGCGATTATGAGCAGTAAATGACCGCATTGATCATGTTTTATCTATAAAATAACCTCAAACGCATGTGTTTGGGGGTGAACAACTTTTTACCTCCTACGATCAAGCAATACAACATACTTTTTCTTTTACAATTTTGCAAGGCTTTTTACTATTTTATTCTTGCAAAACTCTTTTGCTTTATTTAGTTTGTTGGTCACTTTCTTTTTCAAATCTTTATTTTCATTTGTTGATTTTAGAGTTTTTCTCCACAAAAAATCGAGTGTGAATCCTATATCCACACTTATCACCGCCGTTATCCTCCGCTTAACCACCCTGAAGCTTCGTCTGTTGCTCTGCTAAACGTCCAACTGTCTATGCTTCACTAAGCCTTGCTACATTGAGGGAACAATTAGAACTACTCTCGGAAGAGAAGACCCTTGGAGGGCTTCCCAGGTTACTTACTCTCTTATTGATTCATCATTGTCAATTTAAATTCTTTCATAGTTGAAATCTGATTTAGATTAAAAGATTCCTGTTTTGGTGTTAGGATGCTGGAAGAGTTAAATCTTCGTATTATACTCGTTCCGAGTAGATTTTTTGTATCGACTTTGGCCGAATCGATCTTCTGGTGTTTGATTCAATGGTTTCTTGTGTATCAATGTCGATTGGTTTTAGGTTACGGCACTTCATTAATCATCTTAATGAGTAGTTCACAAACATACTTACGATTTGGGGTTTATTGATATGTTCTTCATCTTAAGGTTATTGCTGAATCTAGTGTGGATAAAAGTTTGTGAATGTTAGTGTTCGTATTTATGTGTATGTGAGTTTTTGCTATCTATATTCTGATTCATTTAGCATTGAGACAAAATCTAGAACTGGACTTGGAATCTAGACGCTTTAGGGAGTAAAGAGTTTTGTCTTGGCTTGGTAAAAGTATTGAAAAGCTTCATGCTTTTTTGCCATTGATCTAGGCTCGTTCTTAGTAGACTAGACTTCATATGATCATATCTATTGCAGCCATTTCTTGGTTAGTCTTTGCTTTCTTGATGGTAGAATATTAGTCAGGTCTGAACTTCATTTGCATCTTTATGGTTTCCGTGAAGGTTTGATCATGAATTGTCTTTTGACAAGCGAAATGCTTGTGCTTGTGTCATGGATCCTTGGTTATTGTGGCTTTAGCCTCTGGTTCTGTGGCGTGGGCCTTAGATGTGTTTTATGAGTTTTGTTTTTGTTGCTAGATTAGATATCCAAAGCTTAGCCCTGCAGGTAGTGTTGTTATTAATTGAAGTGAAAATAGTGTTTGTCAAAGTTTTCATGTATCATTTCACATTTAATCAAATAAGTAACTCAAATGGTTGTTTTCTTCTTGTACATTGAACCCCACGTGGGTACAGGAGGACAGCAGATGAACTGGTAAGATAAAACCATTGGTGTGAGCACCAACAAGAGCAAACCAAGTTCAAACGTAACTTTGAATTTTGCTTGGTCAAGTCGGAGAACAACCTAATGGCTATTTCATTAAGCTCTTGTCCTGCAAGGTAATTCTTTATTTGGTCTCCTGGAAATTACAAAAAAAAAATAGATGATCATGGTTTGTATATATGAATTGGTTATTGTCGTATCACATATAATAATGATGATCATGGTTGCTTTTCTTTTACCTGCTCTGGTTTTAGAAAAAGACTTAACGTCTTCGTTAGTGACTATAGCTATATATGTACTCTCTGATTATCACCTATTCACCTTTCACATTTCTCTTTCCTTGTGATTTTCTGCTGTACTAATATATGCTGTGCTTATTATTTTGACAGAATAAAGAAGAGTTGTCAACATTATTTGCACCAATACCTGTGAAGCTACCAGAGTTTGAGACTCACTAGTTTTGGTTTCGGTTTGGTTTTTAGGTAGTTGAAGGACGAGCGCTGAGCTAAATTTGTCTTAAGAAAACATAGCATCTGCATCAGAATCCAAGTCATGAGGGAAGAAGACCCTGCAGAAATAGAAACAATTCATCAGGACAAAACCTTTACATAAGAACAGTTTTTGGATCTCCTCTTTAAATGTCATTTTCTGTAACTGATCTAGAAATGATGTAATACCGACATGAAGAGAAAACATGCCTGCAAGTGCTGTGGTACAAGGTTGAGCTAACTTGATTGATATCACCAAGGAGAGCTAAAGCCTAAAGGCCATAGTATTTAATGGAAAAATAGTGGAAGTCTTTTACCAAGTTACATTTTATTGGAAAAGAGAAGCTTATCGCGGTCCAATGCACTCCCAGTAAATGAATGAGCAACTCCTCAAGTGAACGTGAAAGTGAATCATGGACTATAGATTAAGATGACTAAAAAAGCAATCATGGACTATAGATTAAGATAACCGAAATTCAATGTCAAAGACAATAACTGAGGCCTAATTAAAGAATCCATTAACACAATGTTCAAGGATATTGACCAAAACAGATCTATAGAGACGTAGAGTGCATCTTTTTTTTTTTTTAATCATTTTCTCAAAATTCTCTGGTGCACTTCCTTTGTTTTGTTTTGTCCAAGTCTGTGTGCTAATGCTAAAGTATAAGCTGCAGCTCAAAAGAAAAGCTTTTGAGGTTTTTTTTTTTTTTTAAATGCTTCTGTGTATTTTGTTGCGTTAGTCTATGTTTGTAGTTGCAATCTAAAAATAATTGAAATATGTAAGATTAGGTAGGGAGTAATCGGATTAGGCGGGAAATAATTATCGGATTAGGTGAAGAGTAATCGGATAACTGATTTCTTTAGGGGATTAGTCATTAATCGAGGCGGATAGGGTGGGCCTAGCGATTAAGCAAAGAGTAATCGGATTATGTGGGGATTTTTAGAACAGGAGTTTGCACCAACCTTTAAGTGTTGTTTGAGTAACTCCAGAGCATTTTAGGTGTTGTTTCAGTAGAATGTTCAGAAAATATTTTCTTCTTATTCCTTTGTACACAGAATTCTTCTATATAAATAGATTGAACATCTGATTATTGAACAAGGAAATAACACGTTTAAATGGCATGGTAAAGATCAAATGAAGAAATGGTTTTCTTTTTTCAATGATAAAATCGAAGGTATTCTTGATAAACAAAAAGCAAACTCGGGAATAGTGGAATTAGAAAAATAGTACTAACGGTAGTATTTTTTTTTTTTTTTTGAATGAATGTAAAATTTTATTCATCAAAAAACCTTTGTTACACTATATGCATCTTTGACAAGAAAATCTGAAATTTGACTTTGAACTAAACCAAAACTGTACTTGGAAAATCAAAAGAGTTTCAAATATGCAGTCCTATAAGCGCCTCTTTGCAAACCATTCATGTAGAGCTTCAGCTAATTTTCCATTGCTCTGTTGTGAGAGCGTTGATAGCCGATTCCGAACTGTAGCATTAATATGTTTGATTAAATTTGCTGCAGAAGTTGGTTGTTCCCCATGGCGTCGTCTATTTCTTTCTCGCCAAATCAAATAGATTGTGGATTGAACTGAGAAAAATGTCATTTAAATCATTAGTTGTCCATTTCGTTGGTTTAAAATATGAACTTTGTACCTGGTGATTAAAATGGTTAACTTTATGTAACACGCTGATTTCAGGAATATGGTGGTGCATGCAGAAAGGTTTAAAAAAATTGATTTGGCCACATACGTCACCAAAGTGCACTTATCTTTTTGGTCAACTGTCCTGGGAGAAGTCCACAATTAAGCGTGCTTGAGCTGGAGCAATTTCAGGATGGATGATCTTCCTGAAAGGGATTGTCGGAACTGTGTGAGTGAAGAAAAAATACAGGGAAAGATCATGTGGTGATTTGTAGGGTTGATAAACAAGTATTTAAAGCCTTCCGGACATAGCAAACCAGCGCAACGGAAGATAGTGGGCCCACGGGCCGAGAGAGAACATGGAACCCATTAAGAGAGATGGGGGTCGGGGCGTTACAAGTGGTATCAGAGCCAAACCCAGACGAGTGTGGAGTCAAGAAGGCTCACACCGCCGGAGGTTACGGTCTTCGTGCGCAACGAGGACGTTGCGGTTAGTTAGTGGGGGTGAATTGTAACACGCCAATTTCAGGAATATGGTGGTGCATGCATGCGGATAGGTTTAAGAGAATTGATTTGGCCACCTATGTCATCACTATGCACTTATTTTTTGGTCAACTGTCCTGAGAGAACTCCACAGTTAAGCGTGCTTGAGCTGGAGCAATTTAAGGATGGGTGACCTTTCGGGAAGTGATTGTCGGAACTGTGTGAGTGAGGACAAAACATAGGAAAAGATCATGTGGTGATTTGTAGGGTTGGTAAACAAGTCTTTAAAACCTCCCGGACGTAGCGAACCGGTGCAACGGAAGATGGTGGGCCCACGGGCCAAGATAGGACGTGGGGTCCATTAAGAGAGATGGCGGTCGGGGCGTTTTACTTTAGGTTGACTTTAAGTTAAAATAACTAATTTTCGTTGACAAAGCCAATTGAGGCACAACTTTAATTGGCTACACGGAGCAATAAGACGTTGTTATGTGTCCATTAAACAAGTCAGTTAATAAGCTAAACGGCATCGTTTTCATCTAAAGAAAACCCACAAAACGATTAAAAACATTAGAAATCGAGAAAGCTAATTAACGATTTGAGGAGTTTTTTATATATATTGAAAACGACGTCGTTTAGCTAATTAACGGACACATATCATCGTCTGATTGATCCGTTTATCCAGATAACGATGTGCTTCAATTGGCTTTGTCAACGAGGATTAGTGATTTAATTATAAATCAAACCTAAAATTAAGCATTTTAATCACCAGGTCGAAAGGTCATACTTTAAATCAACGAAAATGTACAACTTATGATTTAAATGATATTTTTCTCATTCAAAATTCAAAGTAAAAGATAGTTTCGCAATAATCCATGCCTTCTCAAGAAGTAGATTACATTTTTTTTTTTTTTAGATTCATAAAATCCTGAAGGAACTCATACATCTTGTGAGACGAACCATACAAATACCATAAACATAAATCATAAGATGCTTTTACTAAATTATAACAGATGGTTTATAAGATAGATATCTTCACTTATATATACATACGATTCCAAGATCGTACAATATATATATGTATATCCTTCTCAGCTCTTATTACTTCAAAGTCTCCAACACCTATTATCATTAACTTCCACGCTAAATTAAAACAATAGAGATAAAAGTGAAAATTCTGTAAATTTACACTAAATCAAATTTATAAGTAAGGTGAAACTAAAACGATTGATGTATAGAAGAGAGCACTTACATTTTCAAGCTAGCTTAGCTTGCTTGTTACTCTCCAGCATGAGGCCGAAGTGAATATGAGGAAAGTGTGCCCACTACAAAGGGTGAACCAATTTAATCAGAAAATATAGCAAAATTACTTTATCATTAATGTAAGAAACTATACAAGAACACTAGGTAAGAACCCGTGCCATGGAACGGCGAATTTTATGTTCTTTAATTTATGAATAGTTATATTTATATTATAAAATAAATTTTCTAAGATTATTAAAAATTTTACTATGTTGAAAAATTACTTAAAGGTTGAGTTAAATTTTATGTATTTAATTTTATGAATAATATTATTTAACATAAAACATCTATTTATTATTTTATTAAAAAATTATTACATTTAAAAATATATTGTGTTTGTGTTTAGTTTTATAGTATGTTTTAAACACAATTCGAAAATCGAAGCACATAATCTTCCAAGTCTTTAAGTCGAATTGGTTTGACTATGGAACTATGACTTCATAATTTTTATTAAAAATCATATAAAGATATATACACACACAAATATATATATATAGTACATATAATTCTTTATAATTATACGTATGTATAAGTTACATATATAATTAATAATAGGCACATAAGTATATATATGTTAAATTATTTTTCAAAGACAAATGTATTTTTGTTGCAAAATCTAAAAATAAAAGTTGGTTTTTGTTATGAAAAAGTAGAACGATTCCATTTTTTGATAGAACGATTCATAAAAAAAATTCAAAGTTTTTATCTCTCAAGATGTTAAAACCAAATTTTGAATATATGCTAAAATATTTTAAATTAAAATACTACTACATACCATACAATAACACAACCTTTTAGATTAACAAACTAATTTTCAAATATTTTATTGATTTATATTATAATATAAAGTTGCATTTACGTCATTTTAAGTTGGGGCATATAGATTTTTGGTTTTAATATAAAATTTTATAATATATATAATAATCTAGTGATGTTGAAATGCATAAACAATACACTCGTATTGTTTACTTTTCCAGTAGAAGAACTCAATGCATTTAATATACATAAAATATAGATACTTTCTTATTTAGAAATTTGATATATTTAACTTTGGTAAGTTTTTTTTTTTTTTGTCAACCACACATTACTTAATTAATAACTCCTTGATTGGTTGCCCAATTAGGAGGAGAGGAGTCTACAAAAAAAACTTCAAAAAATAAGAGTCTAGAAGAACAGGCTATTTTATTTTACTTCTTACATATTTTATTTTGTAAAAACCTTACATATATATATATATAGAGTCTAGAAGAACAGGCTATTTTATTCTTTTAAAATAAATAACTCCTTCATTATTTTAAGCAAATAGTTTGAATATGCACCATAAAATCTAAAGAAATTATTTTAATGTTTTGTGGGATTCCATTTAAAATATTTTTAAATAATTAAAAATTAAAATATCAAAACATTGTAGTTCTAAGATAATAAATTTGATTTATATCACTTTGTAAGTATAATTTACTATTTGGAGATTTAATACCTAAGGAATATATGTAATTCCAAATACAATAATTATGGTAGGTTTATTCAATACAGTAAAATGTGTTTGGTTAATGGTTTTAGAGTAATAAGTAGAAATAGTAAGTTTTACGAAATTTTATACATAAACTTAAATATTTGAAAAATCTCAAATGTAAGTTTTGGTAAGTTTATTAAATGTAAAAAAAAGTTTATTCAATTTGAAATTGTGTTTCGATTTTAGTTTTAGAATCATACCTATAAGGATAGTGGCATTAAAAGTGTTTAGAAAGAGGAATAATAAAATTAAAAAATGTTTGAGAAAAAATATAGACTAGGCACATCCGCACAGTTGGGTTCTGTGAAAAATGGATTAGTTGGATAATGTGGTGCATCACAACAGTCTAATATAGAGTTCTCTTTTATGGACAACCTAGAGGATTAATAGTACCAGAGAGGGGATTGCTGTAACACCCCGGTTTCAGGAATATGGTGGTGCATGCAGAAAGGTTTAAAAGAATTGATTTGGCCAACTATGTCACCAAAGTGCACTTATCTTTTTGGTCCACTGTCCTGGAGCAATTTCAAGATGGGTGACCTTCCGCGAAGTGATTGTCGGAACTGTGCGAGTGAGGACAAAACACAGGAAAATATCATGTGCTGATTTGTAGGGTCGGTAAACAAGTCTTTAAAGCCTCTCGGATGTAGCGGACCGGCCATCAGATAGGGATGGGTCCATGGGCCCGAGAGAGGACGTGGGGCCTACTGGTAGAGGCGGTCGGGGCGTTACAAGTGGTATCAGAGCCGAACCTGAATGTGTGTGGAGTCAAGAAAGCTCACACCGTCGGGGGTGACGACCTTGGTGAACAATGAGGACGTTGCGATCTGTTAGTGGGGGTGAATTGTAACACCCCGATTTCAGGAATATGGTGGTGCATGCTGAGAGGTTTAAAAGAATTTATTTGGCCACCTATGTCACCAAAGTGCACTTATCTTTTCGGTCAACTATCCTGAGAGAATTCCACAGTTAAGCGTGCTTGAGCTGGAGCAATTTCAGGATGGGTGATCTTCGGAGAAGTGATTATCGGTGCTGTGTGAGTGAGGACAAAACACAAGGAAAGATCATGTGGTGATTTGTAGAGTCGGTAAACAAGTCTTTAATGCCTCTCGGACGTAGCGGACCAGTCCTCGGACAGGGGTTGGCCCATGGGTCCGAGAGAGGACGTGGGGCCCACTGGTACGGGCGGTCAGGGCGTTACAATTGCGCCAAGGAGATCCACTCTCTCCAAATTTATTTATCCTCTGTACGAAGGTGTTAATTGCGAATATTTGGAAAGCAGAACGGGAAAAACTAATTACGGGTATCAAAGTAGCAACAACAAGCCCACCGATATCTCATCTACTATTTGCGGATGATAGTTTATTTTTTTGTAAGGCTAACAAAGATCAGTGTGGGGTAATCTTGGGGATCTTAAAACAATATTAAGCGGTATCAGGACAACAAATAAATTATTCCAAATCTTCGATCCAGTTTGGACATAAGGTAGTTGATGATATCAAGGAAGAGATTAAGTCTACCTTGGGTATCACTAACATTGGTGGTATGGCCTCTTATCTTGGTTTGCCGGAAAGTCTTGGTGGCTCTAAGACAAAGATTTTCTCTTTTGTTAGAGACAGATTACAGACAAAAATTAATGGATGGTCGGCAAAATTTTTATCCAAAGGTAGGAAAGAAGTCATGATTAAAACGGTAGCTGCAACAATAACAACTTACGTTATGTCGTGCTTCAGACTTCCGAAAACAATCACTTCTAAACTTACAAGTGTGGTCGCCAATTTCTGGTGGAGTTCTAATGGAGAATCCAGAGGTATGTATTGGATGGCTTGGGATAAGTTGTGTACTAGTAAATCGGATGGGGGGTTAAGTTTTCAGAATGTAGACGATTTTAATTGTTCTTTACTAGCAAAACAGTTGTGACGGTTGATTACGGTTCCATACTCTCTCTTCGGGAGGGTCCTTAAAGGGTGGTATTATCGGAAGTCCAATCTTTTGCAAAATATAAATTCTTACTCTCCATCCTATGGGTGGCGGAGTATATGCTCAGCTAGATCTATGGTCAATAAGGACTTATTAAAAGAGACGGATCTGGGACATCTATCTCAGTTTGGGAAGATCCCTGGATTCCAGCTCAATTCTCGAGACCAGCAAAAAGTAATGGGTTAACTATTGACCCATCTTTAAAAGTTAACATGCTTATAGATAGCCGGTCGATTTTTTGGAATATTGATCTCCTTAAGGTGATCTTTGACCAAGAAGATATCGAGTTAATAAGTGTCTTTCCGGTGGGTGCGCCAACTAAGGAGGATACTTTGGGGTGGCATTTCAAAAAGTCCGGCAAATATACAGTTAACTCGGGATATCACACCACATGGATAGATAAGTAGGCAACCAACTCATCTTTCATTGGCCCATATATCAAAAAGTTAAAATCTTATACTTGGCAAGTACAATGTCCACCTAGGGTACGTCATTTTTTATGGTAAATTTTAACGGTTTGTGTACCGGTTACAGAGAATTTAAGGAAAAAAAGAATTGATTGTTACACAGGATGCGCCAGATGTGGTGCATCAGATGAAACAATCAATCATACACTCTTTCAGTGCCATCCATCACGACAGATTTGAGCGCTTTCTCAGATTCCTACAGCTATAGGGATTTTTCCCACGGATTCTATTTATGCGAATTTGGATAACTTATTTTGGAGAATATCATCGGAGTTGGACTCATCAACCTTTCTATGGATTATTTGTGATATCTGGAAAGCAAGGAATGAAAAACTCTTTGGAAGTATTGACAAATACCCTCTAGAGATTTTACGGTTAGCGGAAAAAGAAGTACAATTGTGGCTCACAGCTCAAGCAGAGCTTCATTGTGAAGATCAGGGTTCAGTGGAACTTGCAACTCGGTCTCGAATAAGGGATGTACCCCTTGATTCAAACTTCTCTGGACACTGTTGTTTTGTTGACGGATCTTGGAAAGACATTGATAAGTTTTCTGGTTTAGGGTGGTTTTGTGCATCACCAAATGATGCGCCGCCAACTATGGAAGCTGCCAACCTCCGTAGAAGTCTATCTCCACTACATACAGAAGTCGATGCCCTCCTCTGTACGATGAAGTGTATGATTGGTGGCCGGCATTCTCAGTGTATTTGGAGGAATTTCAGAGCGACAAGGAAGAGTTCTCCAACTTCTCTCTATCTTTAATATCTCGTTGTGCTAATGTAAAAGCGGATAATCTGGCACGAATAATTCATACGGAACTGCTTCATAGCACTTATGTAAACAACACTCCACAGAAATAGCTCTTTTGAGTGCTATTTAATTTCGGATGACAAAAAAAAAATAGGCACATCAGCACATTGTCACTAAATTCTTAGATTTTGAATATATAGAGGATTAAATGCTTAGATTTTTAATGCACCTTAAATTAGAAATTAAGTAATTCCATTTTGACCTATAAATTAACAAAGTTTCATATTATAAAATAAATTATTTTTAAGTCTAAAACATTCTCTTTTATTATTTTCCTCCAATTTTAATGAATTAAATTTTCTTACAACAAACGTCAACACTTAATTCTAAAAACTTCCAACCAATATAAAATTACTTAGTAAATTAAATAAAAAGAAAATTGAACCAATCTTTTCTGGTTATATAAAATTATCATATATATATATATATATATATATATATATGCATGTATGTTTATTATTCAAATTTCATTAAGTTATGAACATAAGATGGTGACACCAATTCAACTGGGAGACCTAATGATTTGGAAGATACTCCATTTAATTTCATGTGTTATGTTTGAAAGCATATAATAAAACTAAACATAACCACTATGTACTCTTGAAACAGAGTGAATATTCTTTAAAAATTTTTAAATAATATATATATATCCCTTATATATTTAGGGAGACTCACAAAAATGTCCCTTTTTCAATACCCCTTTTCAAAAATGCCCCCTTTGGCTGTCCATTTTTAAAAATACCCCTTTTTATGTACAAAATGACTAAATTACCCTTCTTTTAATAAAAGATATCACAAATATATAAGGAAATATAACAAAATTAGGTCCACAAAATACAAAATATTTTTTGGCGGAAAAAGTGATCCCTCAATTTTTCCCGCCAAAACACTTGTAAAAAACCTTTAAAATACCTTGTAAAATTTTCCCGTAAAATTTTTTCCCGCCAAAAAATTTTCCCGCCAAAAAAATTTTTTTGCGGGAAAAGTGATTCCGTAATTTTTTTGGCGTAAAATTTTTGGCGGGAAAATTTTTGGCGGGAAATATTTACAAGGTATTTTAAAGGTTTTTTACAGGGTATTTATAAGGTTTTACAATGTATTTTAAAAGGTTTTACAACGTATTTATAAGGTATTTATAAGATATTATAAGATTTTACAAGCTATTTTATAAGGTTTTACAAGTTATAAGATTTTACAAGTTTTTTATAAGGTTTTACAAGTTTTTTACAAGTTATAAATTCCTTATAAAACTTTATAAGTACCTTGTAAAACCTTTTAAAATACATTGTAAAACCTTACAAAACACTTGTAAATACTTCGTAAAACCTTTAAAATACCTTGTAAATTTTTCCCGCCAAAAAAATTTCGCCAAAAAAATTGCGGAATCACTTTTCCCGCAAAAAAAAATTTTTGGCGGGAAAATTTTTTGGCGGGAAAAATTTTTACGGGAAAATTTTACAAGGTATTTTAAAGTTTTTTTACAAGTGTTTTGGCGGGAAAATTGCGGGATCACTTTTCCTGCCAAAAAATATTTTGTATTTTGTGGACCTAATTTTGTTTCAAATAAGGGTAAAATGGTCATTAAAAATTAAAAGAGGGCAAACTTAAAAATGGACTTTCAAAGGGGGCATTTTTGAAAAAGGGTATTGAAAAATGGGCATTTTTAACAATTTCTCATATATTTATAGAGAAGCACTTTATAAGATAAACCTTATCTTGACGTGTTATTAACTAAACTGCCATGCTGACATGTCGCTCTCAGAGTGAATTTTCACCCATTTAAATTTTTACCCAAATTTTACTAGACTATTTACAGATTTTGCCATTAGTCTTAATACATATATATATATATATATATATCATACAAATAACAAAAAAACGAAATTATAATTAAAAAGCAAATAATTAGGCAACTGATATCATATTTATATTTAACAACAAATCACGGGATCTTTGTTTATTTATATTAATAATCTATTTTCAATAATTAAAAAGGAAAAAAATTGTGTTTATCTTATATTAATAAATTTTAAAATTTATATTTTTCTTTATATACATTTATATAAATCTTCTCTAGCCGATGGGTAAAAAATCTTTTTATTTATTTATATATATATATATATATATATATATATTTATGCTTATATTTAAATGATAAAAGATATACATTTTGTTCAAGAATTTCGAATTCAAAACTACAAAATCTCTAAATCTTTCATAAAATTTTATATCTATTGTACTTAAATAAATAAGATAATCTCTTTTCTATAAATGTTACGGATACTTAAAATCCAATTTTTTTGGAGGGGTTCTAACTTTTCGAAGAAAAACATTATAACCACATTTATATATAAACCAAAATCTGGCCACATTATAACCTCTTTTTTTTGCCAAACGGTCACATTATAACCATTTCGTAAATAATTCATTCATAATATAAGAATCTTATATTTGGAACAATACAAAATCTTAACTCGGAAACTATCAAATATCATCTTTGCTAAATTTTTGGATTTTTTATACTTAAATAATAATAAAAAATTTCGAAATCTTTAAAACATACGGAAAGACATATTGTCATAAATGGTAACATTTCGTCAATAATTTCTTTATCACGTTGAAGCTTTATTCAAGGTTCAAATATTCCACGGGTAAAACGTATTCTTATATAAATAGTCCCAAGTTTGAATAAAACAAAAAAAAATTATTACATGTTACGTTTTACACAAACGGATCTTGGATCCCGGATAATAATTTTAATTATAATAATTTTACTTAAATCACTTCATCCCGCACATAGTGCGGGTTGTTATCTAGTATATATTATTAATAAACCTATACATAAGATTGAATAGATTAAGATTCGTCTGTGCATGGCAAGAATTCTTACATAGTGTAATTTTAAACAGAAGGATTATATATAAATATTGATTATAAAAAACATAAATTAGGTTAATATTCCTACATATTTTATTTATTTTGTTGGATAGCATTAAAATTTCTTTCTCTGTCTATCTTTTAATTTTTCTATTTTAAGTACTTATTTAAGCATATTTTAATTGATTTTTTTCATGTCTTAGATAAATCATAAACTTAAATAGTAACCTACTAAAATAAAATAGCTAATTATGAATATAAATAAAAGATTTATTTTATATCTATACGTAATGATTTAAGGATTTAAATACTTATGTAATATATATACACACAATTTTCTAATAAGATTATATCGAGTCACTCTTACGAGTTGTGTAGATAGTTAATCACGGCTAACAATTTTAGCATCGTACTACTAATTGTTACTGGTTTATTATGACATGTACAAATTAAATAAAACTATTTGAACATATAAAAGAAATAAAAACTTACATTCTTGGCAGCGGAGCTGAATGCTTCTCTGTGGCTTATGTCTGGATTATTTGCCTTAATCCTTTGAATTTCCTCTCTTCAAAGTTTTTAATATAAAAACACTAATCAATAACCTCTTTCTAAACAGATTTCGAACAATATATATATCTATATGTATGTATGTATGTCTAAATTTTTTTGTTACTTTATGAATTGGTTGTACGCAGAAGGTACTCGCTGCCGCTTCTCCGAGGCTGATAGACAATATAAGAAATTTTCAGTATGTATACAAATAATTTTCACGTGTACTTCTTTAGTTTTATTTAGAAAGCAATCTTACGACGGTTTACTATCCTTTGCTCAGTTATGGTACGAGTTGAAATTCTTGAAGGTATTTTGGTGTGGTCTCTTGAGGAAGATCCATACTCTGGTACTGCATAGTTCGTTGCCTAATAAAAATATATAAACGCTAAATTTAGTTTTTAATTACATGACTTTTCTTTGATTTTCCAGACCAAAAATGGTGAATCAGAAGGATTGAGTAGCAATCATGTATGTATTAATTAATTTAGGAAATTGAAAAGAGAAAAATAAAGTGGACCAACTTATAGACATATTATTAATATTTAAAGGTAGTAAAAGAAAAAACCTTCAAAAAAGGAATCTGAAAATATGTTTCGAAATAGAAAAAAACAAACAAACCTATGAAACCCTAATATTTATGTCAATCAAATCATAGAATAAGTAGCCCACATCAGTAATAGATCAAACATAAGCTAGGGCTCTATGAAAAGAAAAAAAAAAGCAATTACGAAAAAAGCTGCAGATATCAATCACAGCTGGAAAAGGAAACTTAAATAAACATGTAAAAAGAAGAAGATTTAAGTAATATTAAAAAATTTGGGCCTATGTAGTAGACGGCGGCTGGTTACAGAAACATGCAACAAGAGGCTCAGATCTCTGTCTATATTCGTCTTTAAAAACAAACAAAGAGCCCTAAATTTCAGAGGGATGGTTCAAGATTATTTTATTTAATGACAATGAACTCTTAAAATTTAGGCAATTGAGGAGAGAGAAGTTACATGGAAATTAGGGCGTGAAAGTGACTGAAGAGCAGCTGCCATGTTTACAGACCACAGATTGGTGCAGTGACCGCATCGGACGGTCACAATGTCGAACAAGCTGCTGCATGGGACACTCACCTACACGTTTTAACCAAACACAACCTCACATATTAATTAATTGATCTTCTTTCATGGACAATTGAATTTGTGAATCAGATCCATAAGACTTGTTACAAGAAAATTATCATTAGACAACGAATAAAAAATATTGCTTTCTTTGTTGATATATATCAGATATTCCTATCTTTTGTGGGTCGAAAAATAATGCAATAAAATCATATGATAGAAAAAAAAAAAAAAAAAGTAGTGGCTTGAGATAGAAGATCATCATCTTCTCTTTTGTTGCAGCCACCACTTAAGATCCAGTAGTGACTCCATTTCTTATGCACAATCTGTTACTTATAAATTAGTGAATATACTTACACATATATGCATGACCATTTTAAAATAGGTTATCTTATGATTCTTAACTTAAAATTGTAAGTAAAATCCTACTAGTAGGATTTTGCTTTGAAAAAAGCAAGAAAAGAATAGAAAATAAATCAATATAATGGTGAAAAAGTCATGTATAGCAGACGGATGGTGACTTCTCTCTGGCACCACAATCTAAACGAAATATTTGTCATTGACAAAAATAAATTAGAACGGATTTAAATGAATGAGAACTTTGAACGTTTGTAAGATAGTGGAACTGATGAAAAGAGCTGCACTCCTCTTTATCAGAAACCAATATATAGTACAAAGGAAATTAAAGGTAGATCTATGCTTGATTATATATTTTATATACGAGATATTCATAAGCATAGATCTACTATAGATAGCAGAGTATATAATCGATATGTATAGCAATTATACCGCGAGCATTATGTTGCAAAAGTTGCAAGGGATGTAGCAAAGTTGCTCGGTTGCCATCGCAGAGTTAGCCATGATCGATCGGAGAAATCGGACCAAACAAGTTGTTTGTTTTGAAGAATAGATAGAAGATGAGAGAAATTATATAGGTAAAAACCGTGTGACTCTGTCTCTCTCTATCTCTACCCGAACAGACACTTGCCTAAAAAACTGGTATTGCACTTCAACAACTATGCCAAGGGATCATAAAAGTAATTTAATGAATGGGAAGATAATATGTAAGCCTAAGGAGAGGATGAGAGTTAAAGGGGCAAAATTATTATATGCAATGTGAAGGATTTGGGAATTTCGATGTAGGGTTATGTTCTATGTCTTTTAACGAGTAGGGTCCGCTTCACTCATGGGGTTGCATACCATAAAAAAATATATAGCATTTAGTTTAAGGAAATAATAAAAAAAACTGTATAGTTTATTTAATATAGCCGAAAAAGTTTTCTATTATACAATATAAATAATGATTGCCAAAACAATATTTTAGAATCATAAATTCATAATGTTATACAACCAATCGAGGGACGGTCTATATGCAAGATATTGTATGCAGTAAATGAAGAATATTTGTATTCGCGAGAATATTGTATGTCGGCCTTCCTTCCAAGAACACTACATTGAGATACTATATTATCGATGGTATTAATAAAGATTGGTATATGAGAACGTTGATGACAACAACAACAACAACCAAAAAAAGTATCTGAGAACATTTCCTTTTCGACTTTATTCGTGGGATACGTGATTCAAATTTAGGGTTTGTTTTTTATATGTCGTTTGTAGGGTTGATAAGTAGCCTAGTAGTAGTTGAATTATAAAATGGTTGCTTGTTTAAACTTGGCATTTATGTTTAGTAATAAATGAAAATTTTAACTGTATTATTTATTTATATATCAATAATATAAAACTACTTGCTTTCTTTCACTTTTACAGAAGTCTCATTCTAACATTTTCACACAAATTAAAAATATATATAAATTTTTATTATATATTTTATTAATACAATAACTGGTTTTATCATTCTAATTAATAAACCGAATCATAATGATAAAATTGATAATTAGTTTAAATATTCTGCATAGAAAACCAAAAACCATATTTTGTGAAATAAAAATAAAGAATCAAAACGATAATTCTGTCAAATGAAGATGTATTACTTAACTAGATTTTAACCCGCGGTATATATCGCGGAATGATTTTTTTTTTAAAGTTAGTATATATAAAATTTTGCACATTATATCTCTTTATAAAATTTATTTATATTTTATAATTTATAATTTTTATTAAGTAACGATATACCACGAGTCTACATGACAATTGTTAATAAAATAAAGATTTAACCCGTATGTTAATGATATTTTAAATTTTGGAAATATTGATTTAAGACATTTATATCATCCTCTAAGACATTTATATTTTAATAAACTGAGGTTTTAATCTCTATTAAAGCCGCATGTTAATGATATTTCAAAATTTTATAAATATTGATTCAAACTCGTCCACCATATAACCCCGTTCCGAAATATAACACGTCATGTAATTTGTTAACTTGTCGCGTGATTTGTTTTCTAAAAGTAGTAATTTTAAAAATTTAACAATTATTTATTATATATAAAAGTTTGCAAATTTTATTATTTTTTAAGACATTTATATTTTATAGTTTATAATTGTTATTGAGTAACATTGTACCACGGGATAATTTTGTTTTATACAATCGTTTCTAAATGAGACTGATTTATATGTTTAATATTGGTGGTATTAAAAAAAAATATTTAATCCGTACTGAAGCGGCGGATTAATGATATTTAAATTTTTTTATTATTATTGATTCAACAACATGTCCCGCCAAATCCGTCCCGTAAAAAAACTCATTTATTTTTTTAATATCGATCTTATTTATGATATGATTCTAAATCATTTTCTAAATATTTTAGTCGATGTGGAACGTTGAACATACATTTTTTGTCAATTAGATAATATATGTCCGTTTTTTAAATTTCGATCACAGTATATGTAGAAAAAGAAATTGATTTCTTTTTTACTTTATGTATTATATGATGATTCAAAATTGTTAAAACAAATCAAACAAAGATCATAAGAGAATCATAATTCTAAATATTAATCAAATCTTCTAAATATTTAAATTATTAAATATTAAATATTTGGCGTATAAGTTGGGTTAAATATAACCCGACCCAACAAACTTTTTATGAACAAAATTGGTAAACGGGTCGGATACCCATTGTATCCAAATGCATTTTACCCCACCCGCTAAAAATTTAATTCAAAAATACTATTATAGGTAATAATATGTTGTCGATAAAAATAAAATTTATTAGAGAGAACCGTAGTTCATATGAAAAAGACAAAAAAATGAATTTGATTATTTCCTATTGAAACAATGGATTAATAAATCAACTAAAATAAAAGTGAGGAGGATGCGCACAAATGTTAGTAAAATCAATACAAATATTTCATAGAAATGGGGAAAGAGGAAAGAAAAGAAGAACATTAGTGTGGCTACGGAAGGATGCAAAAGCTGGGACCAGCATGAAAGCAAGTTGCCACTGTTTTTTATTTGCTTTCATTGGAAATTAAACTTTTTGATATATTTCAGGTTTAGTTGGGAATGAGCTAAATTGTTCGGTCACTTCTTTTAGTTTGGACAGCTGATTAGACATTAGGGTTTGTTATAGTTCACTTCTTTTTGTTTGGACAACTGATTGGATGAACATTAGGGTTTGATAGAGAGAGACATCTAAACATCTGAAAGTGGGAGACTTTTATACGAGTAACCCAAATAATACGTATACAAATAATATTATATTTCATCGGTAGAAATCAATTTAAATCTTCTGATAAGTTTTTGACAAAAAAAAAGAAAAAAAAGAAGCTAAAATTAAAACGAAAAGACAAAACAAATTTTACAAAAAACAAAAAAAAAAAAAACTTTGTGATAAGTTTGACTAAACCGCTTTAAACCACACATATAAATGTTATTATTGTCTTTTTATTTCAACATTGAGATACATCATACATTTAGATACATCATACATTTAGTTTCCCTAAATTAAGATCTCCTTCTAACACCTAATTCCCCAAAATATCTCCTTTTAAAAGTTCAAAGAGAGTGTTAAAAAAATAATCCAATCATATATTTACACTATATATTTGAAATATTGATCTATTCTTTTAATCGTTGTCTTACTATAAAACTCAATAACAAAAACTAACTTTAAGACATTGGGATTCATTAAAAATAAATAAACCACATTAATTTATTAATCAAGTATTCCAGTAGAAAGAATTAAGATCCCGACTTATTCAGGTGTACTAACATGTTAATTTTCTATTTATTGAGGCTGGTGCTTCTATTAAGAAGGAAAGAATCAAATATTTTTCACCTTATTATTATGAAAAAAAATCTGAAGATCGGTTGAAGATTGTTTTGGAGTGAAGCGGTGTTGAATAGCTCATGTGATGTGTTACAAGGAGTTATCATGAAATCGATGTGTCATTACATTTATGGCTTCTTGCAACCCCACATTCTCTCCCCCTCCACCACCGCACTTAGGGGGCGATTTCTATTTTTTTTTTTTCAAATCATTTTTTATTGAAACTCTTCGCTCAAAATTGTTTGAGGAAACCTAGAAAATGACGTAAAGATGAGTGATATCTTAAACAAGAGAAAGCAGTACTAGATGAAGTTTCTCTTAAGTTTTACAAATCCATCTTTAATCTTTGCGTCTTCTTCTACGATCCTTGTATTCTTTTCTGTTTAGCATTGTTCGTCTTTTTGCTAACAAGATTGTTTAGATAGTGATGGTAAATCATTCAACTAACAAGCATAGCAACAATTTCATGAAATGGAAGACATTCTCGTATATTAAGAGTATTTAATACCTTTTCCATTTCATATTATATGTCCTTTAAGTTTTTTTTTTTTCACTAAATTTAAGAAAACAGATAAAAATTTCGTTTACTCTTCACTAATGTATTTTATAATTGTTTGCATTAGTTAAGACATTAAGGTTGTAGAGACAAAGTTGAAACTTTTACAAAATACACTAGAAGAATTATGGATATTCTTAACACACCGAAAACGCTACAATATCGTTTTTATGGCGGACGCATAAACGCTGTCTTTGCCGGAGTTATCTTAGAGGGGACGCTTACAATAGCGCTTTTTGGACATGCTATGAAATATCCCTATATAATAGCGTATTATTTTTGTTATTGTTATATAATTATGTTGCACTATATTTCGCTATTTATTATTACTGTATAGCAATAGTTGTTTGCTATTTCATATTGTATAGTAGTGATTTGAATTCATTATTAATTTATCTTTTGTAACTATATAGTATTGTTATAATTTATTTACCTGTAGCATAATATTTATAATATAATTTTGTATTACGTAACTATGATTTTTTGCCAAGCTGTGTATATTATGATTTTATGCATTAGGTTATTATGCTCTATTTATCTGATCTATGCTGCTATTGATTCAATATTTTCTATTTAAAATTTTATATTTATAAAAAAGAAGTCAATAACATATCATCATCATATTATCCAAAAACTTACAAGTACCAAACATTACATTGATCCATGTGTTTAAGTATCAAATCACACCAAAAGTTTTGAATCATATGCAACAGAATCTAAGGCAGTAGACCTCTTACTGAAAGTTTAGATTAGCACCATTTTGTCTCTAGGCCAAGCTACAGTTGTACCCAACACATCCTCCATACACTCAACAGCATCAGAAGGCCTCCAGACCTCTACATCATTAACCCTCACTACATCTACCCAGACACGAACTCCATTTGGTCCTAAAGGCTTAAAGTGAACTTTCATGTTAGGATCGTTTGAAGACCAACGTCCTTCAGCCACAACCCTCTTCAATCCTGTAATATCCATCAACATGCACTTCTGATTTTCCTTTCCAATCACTTATGCAGGAATGCTATACTGCAGTGTTTGAAAAAACTTAAAATTGTTAAACCACCACTTAATTATATGTAATGGAGTAGATATTGTTTAGTTTACCTAAGACTTCTGAGTAGGTGCCTGTGAATTGGATTGTGAGTTATCCTTTGTTTTCTTAACAGGAGTTGCAGGTGATGATGTAGATTGTTGAAGAGGAGAGACTGAACCAGCCGGTGTGTCGATGTTTACTCCGAAGAACACAACTCTGTTGACAGGCCATGCCACATAAGACTTTAAACAGTCCTCAATTGTTGACAGATCTGGAGTGGGCCTCCAAAGGAATGTTTCAGGTTCTATCACTTCATCAAGAAAGATCTTAATAGCTCATGGTCCTATGGGAAGTCCATTAACCAATGCTTCCCTA